CCATCATAAGAATCGTAGGATGGTTCCTAATTTCTAGCTTGAACTTTATTTATTTATCCAATATAAAATACCAATAGAATGAAGTCCTGATATTCCGTATAGTGACACCATATAAAATAATCACGCTCTAATGAAAAAATATATAAAAAATGTCGATGAGCACTCCCTTACTAGGCAACGATTTCCGCCAACGACGATATGTATATGTGTGTGTGTGTCTTTGTGTTTGTGTGTGTGTGTGTGCAAAAATTTAATAATATATTGCTATAAAAAGACAAGAAAATCTTCCCTATCCTTTTATTGTTCTCTCTCCTTAATAGTGTTTCTTTTTCCTCATATTCTCTAACACAAAGTAATCCCTTGCGTCTTAGTAGATTTATTGCCTTGCTTTAAGAAATATATATATATATATATATATATATATATATATATATATATATATATATATATATGGGGGGGCATATATACTGAATAGATGCTCCTCTTAAATGTTAATATATTTGAAGATTACTTAAGACTTGTACATGAAGAAAGTCAGTGAGCCAAAACTTAATGATCGAGGCAACAAAGATGAGGATATTAGTCAGAGCCGTTCGTGGAATAATGCATAAAACATCATTGCAAAAAAAAAAATACTGCATTAAAAACTGCATTTAGTGCAAAAAAATGCTGTAAGCACGAAAACCTGCATTACTGATTTTTATTATTCCGTCCATATTGAAGAGGTTTATAGAAAGTTTTGTAATACTGATATTTAGTCTATCATGTATATTAATCTGTTTTACAATAGGTATGTCTAACAGATGATGGAGATCTTTTGAATCCATTAAATATTTCGCCGGTGTTGAGCCGAAAATTCCCGCCTTTTATATCTCTACCCCACCTCTCTCCTCTCTCTCTCTCTCTCTCTTGAACGCGCGTGCTATCTCTCTCTTTCTCTCTCTCTATCTATCTATCTATCTCTCTAAATAAGCATGACATGAATGTCAGCTATTCTAAAGCTAAAGTAGACTTCCTATCCTCCTCATTCTCTGCCAAGAACTACAACTTAATTATACTCTAAAAAGCTCAACTGAAGAAATCAACATCGTTTGTCTGCTTGTCATACAAACAAGGGAGATAATTATTTAAAACTATGTGTTCGACTACGGCTTTACCAAACTCGATGTCAATCCAACATCATGTCTTTTTGAGTTCAACTTCAGGAGAGGCCAGATGCAGTTGTTTTACACCCCGCACGGACTGTGTTCAGTCTATTTGTAGACACAAAGTTATTAAAATAATGTTTATAAAAAAATGTTTTACTTGCATTTAACACTTGCTGTTATCATGCAATTATCAATTAACCTCCAGATTTAGATATGCAACTGACGCAGAAAAGCAAAACTTATAAGAAAAAAATACAAACGAGTATTACTTAGATTGCGAAGAAATGGCTTGTTATTTGTACCACCAAAATGGATGTCTTTTTTTGTCCGAAATGAAAGCTACTGCTACCTCCCGTTTTAAAATGTTTACCAAAAATAAGGAAATTATCCGATTCAACGAAATTTTCAGTACTTATTCCTGGATGAATGAATTATTGAAAGGTTATTTTATCAGAAAATGTGGAAATATTTTTAGGGGTGTCTGTTTCACCCAACTTTTTAATTTGGAGTTTTTCGTCAAATTCTTATTACAGCTATCTAAAGAAAAATAGTGATGATGTTATTTCAGTACAAACAATATATGCAATATCAAGTGTGAACATAACGGAAAATTCGTCCGGAATCTAACCAAAAATAATTTAATAAGACTCAAAATATATTCTTATGACAGTTGGTGCTTGCATCATTTAATAAAATACCTTATTTTCTTTCAGATTTGACAGAAAAAAAAAACTATACTTATTATTTTTTAAAATTACTTTCAGTGCGATTTTGAAATTTATCCTGTTGCTCTTCGGAAGAATCGTAAAAATTTAAAACTTAATGCCATTTTCGAGTGTGAACCTTTTTTAAAAGAATTTTAATTTTTTTTTTTTATTTTAGCAACCATCTTTTTGGTATGGATGTTCAAAAAGGAAATAATTACCTTTAACCACTTTTCCCTATCGGAAAAGTAATATGATATATGAAAATTCAATGATTCTTAAATTCAGAATAATTAAAAAACACGTTGCGTACATTTAGATATTTTTTGACATGAAACATGTTCGAAAACAATAAAAAAGAAATGTATTAAATTCAAAAATATTATTTCGCTATAAAAAAAATATTTCTAATATAGTATAAAAAAATAGAATTATTCATTCTATCAAGTTTCATAAAATTGTATAGAATAAAAAATTATATTCTTAAACTACTGTTTATATAAGGTTAAAAATAATTTATTTTTAAACAAATACCAATATATTGATCATTGCACTGTTGGTGTTCCGTATTTCTTTAATTTTTATTTTTAATTTTGCGCGCGCTTTTTGTAAGGGGTATGGTTATACACTTTTTCTATTTTTGACCTTTAACCCCACAAGTGTAAATAAAGGTTATTTTCTTTAAGTTTTAAGTAGAAGTAAACATTACTTTTATAAAATCCAGTTAATTACTTTTATAAAATCCAGTTAATTAATCCTTAATTTTACTAAATGACTTCGATTTTTAAGAGATTTTTAAATTAGTTGTTTACACTTTTCGTCTATAATAACGGTTCAATGACTCGATAAGTGTCGAGAAAACGTTCCAGTTTTTTAGAAATTCCCTAAACTTTACTTATACAGGGAAATTAATTATTCTTCAATTCGAATTAGCCTTAGACTTATTTTTCAAATAAAACTGAAATTTAATTTAAAAGAAGGTATTTAAATTATTTAAAAATATGTTTTACGATTTTTAGGAAATTCGTGGTGGTACCTATTTGTAAAAAAAAATGTAAAAAGTAAAAGAATGAAATTATTATTCGTCCAAAATAATTTACGTACTTTCACTTACTACTGAAAAGATTATTTTAATGTTTTATGTTGTACAAGAAAGGAAACGGACGTCTAGGATGCGCGCGCACGGGTTTGAGTGTGCGAATAAAAATGTTTAAAAAATGACGTAAAAGAAATGACATTTATTTCATATGCATTTTTACCCAATTCAAACCAGATTTGAAAAAATACGAAATGAAAATTTATTCATTTTTATATATTACCACCCACATTAAACGTTTACTTTATTAAAATCAATTATCTCAATCATTTAACATTTCTTTTTTCTCTTTCATTTTACTCTCTCTTTCTTTCTCTTTTGTAAGTTTGTTTTTATTTGGGGGGAAATGCGGACATCTTTTCAACGTTAATTTACTTTATTAATCAATTTTCTTCTATTGACATGTTATACAAGAAGTAAATTCAGTCTTGACAAAACGATGTTCCCTAAACTTTTTAAAAATTAATTCCTAATAAATAATTCCTTCTTATATACCTGATTTCCACAGGAAAAAAGTTCCGTAAAATAGCAATAAATAACAAAATAGATGTTTTGAACATCCGCTCGCAGTAATAATAATAATAATAATAATAATAATAATAATAATAATAATAAGAAGAAGAAGAAGAAGAAGAAGAAGAAGAAGAAGGAGGAATTTAACTAATGTGAATAGATGCCGTGAAATATAAATCGTGGGTGTTGTGAATCGCAGAACAATCATCGTCAAATGAAAATTTCTGTGCTTCGTCATGAGTGGCTCGAATCCGAAACAACAAACATTAGGTATTTAGTTTTTTACGTAAAAATCGGCGGGGTAGGGGTGGGGGGATTCTTGTTTCCCACCCGCCACATTATATACGACTACATTACGCAAGAAGGCACGGTAGTCAGATTTGAAGATACAAACTAAATTGCGTCACACGAAAACGATTGAAAGTCGTGTACCACGTGAGTAGAGTTGTTTTTGTGTATAATGTTTCCCAAGCATCGTGAATAATCGAAATAACACATTGACTCGCATATAACATTATATATCATCTTTCATACTTTTCGTTCGGCATCTTGCACACGGAGATGCTGATTGTCATGGTGTGGCATCTCTGCTGTTTACGTCAATTAATGCAGTTGTAGTAAATGTATTTATGTTGCAGACGATCTCGATTTATTTTTTGTTTGACTATCAACAGATATCACTCGCTTGTTACATTGTAATTGTTCATCTGTGAAATCGCTCTCAAGAACCTTTTTCTTTTACTCTGTAACTTTTTGAAAATCAAGGGCTTCCCCTTCTACGACTGCGATGTCGTGCGATAGAGTAGAAACTACTGTAAATTTTAGGTGGGCATTGAATGAACAGAGAGAGAGGGGGGAGAGGGGGAGGGAGTGTGGAAGAAAGAGTGGGTCCATACAATAAATTTGATGGGAATAAAAAGTTGCCGGATACTGGACAGTTAAATTGAATTCAGCCATTCTCTTTCCTGTTCGCTAACAAGTTGCTTCATTCAGACCTTTTGTAATCTCTTCCACCACCTCCACCAGTAAGAAAGCGTTTTGTGGGTGAAAATTCAGGTAGGTAGATGACCAGGTAGTGTCTCTCAAGGTATTTTCGTTAAAAAGTTAAGTATATAGATTGAAATATTTAAACAAAATATCTTCAGCTCAGAATGTTGACGTTAACCTGTTGGTCAATACGCGGTGCGCATATTTTAATTGATATTCTGTCAAAAACCGGTATAATTCAATAAAAAGTGTTTATTATGTTGAATCAAGGTATAATATTAATGCTTTGAATAAATTCTAAGAATACAGAATTTACGATGATATATATATATATATATATATATATATATATATATATATATATAACGGAGAAACCCATCGGAAGTTTTACTCGGGATCCAGAAAGAACTGTCTTGGAGGGTTGTCCATTTTTCTGTCTATGACATCAAGAACAGATTGTTATAAAGATCGAATGAAAAAAGAAAAGCGTAAATACTAAGACATTTAAAAAATAAAAAATTAATTTTAGACAAAGAAATTTTCAAGAAATGTTTAGATAGATAAATAGATAGATAGATCGTCATCATCATCGTGATGAAAGGAGGAGGGAAAAGAGAGAAAGAGAGCGAGCATGGAAGAGAGTAAAGAGAGAGAAAGAGGGGGGATAGAGAAGACGGAAGCACAAAGATGAATCTTGAAGAAAAATTTTTTTCCGGCAGAATAAGAATTATTAATCAGAATAAAAATACATAAAACATGCGTCGTTTATCCGAAGTAATTAATTAGGATTCTATATTTCATCTTATGGCTAATAAATTTACAAGATGAATTACGATAGCTCACCTGACAACGACGATAGCATTTGTTTGTCACTGAAGTAGTCCGCGAGTCAATGAACAGGTATCTTGTAAACAAGCTTTTGTTTTCAAACTCAATAAACTGTATACGTGTGAAATCCAGTTTCCAATTAGGACAATTTTTTTATTATATTCCACAGACTTTTAGAATAACTTTAGTTTACACATAACGGTTTCATTGCATAATGCATTAATTCAAATTTTTTGTCATTAGTTAGTTAAGACTTCGACGAGTTTAATTCCCTACAGCTAGTAAAAAGAAAATCTATCATATACAGACCTTTTTTAATGCCATATACATAAAAAAAAAAAAAACGTTTGAAATCGTTGTCTTTACGAGTTACCTTATAAATTAAAGCGTCGTGGAGGTAAAGAAAAGAAAAAAAAACAGAAATCACCGATTGCCCACCAAAAAGCCAGTCTAATGAACAAATTCGATCACGTGACTTAATTCAACTCCTTCGACTTTGAATACTACAGATATTTCTAGTTGGCGTCCTTAAAATAAGTGGCTGCTGCAAATAGTTCGAGACAATTTTTGCAGTGAAAATTCTCTTTCCATTTCCTTTCCATACTACTCTAAGCATGTACACTCGCATATGTTAAATAAATTACCTTATCTCTCCGACCTTCACGAAATTCATGCGAACTTGTATAACTGTCAAAACTTTTCTTTTATGAGCGTATCTGTCTTTCAAATATGGCTTCTTTAAACATTCGTTGTAATACTTATGTTAATCATTGCTCGTGTAATCAGCTTTTTGACAAAAAAAGATCGTTGAACGATGAATAATTCTTAGTCATTACATTTGAAACTGATGGGAGATAAGTGTCTACTTAATATGTAAGAGCAATAAACCAAACAGTGTTTAGTTGTAGTCTGCACCGGCATTTCGTCTTGTTTCCTAACCAAATCACCAATATAATTCTGTTCAAGGCATAAGAATTCATCTGACTAGTTATTATTGATACCCTTTTTCTTTAGTTTTCTTTTTTTTTTTTTTTTTTTTTTTTTTTGGACAGATTACAAGAATAAGGAATATATGCTCAAATATCTTGTAATAAAAATTAATGCAATTATAATTTCTTTCGCCGGGTGGTTAGGTCACGAGTTTAAAAAAAAAGAAAAAAAAAAAAGTTTCCCAATACCGTGTCTTTTACATGTAACTGTAAACTGTGGCAAAATAAGCGTGCATGTGTGCGCATATGTGACGGACAGAGTATAAAAAAAATAATATAAAAAAACATATTTTAAAATAAAACGCACATTACCCCCCCCCCCATTGTATAGAAAAACTCAAATAAATTGGGTTTTAAAAATGTCAAAGTTCATTTTCGTAAATACAAATGGTCCCTCAAACCAATTGGATGAGTTGAGTCTGTTCAAGTTTTTACATTCGCGTTACGGTTAACCTTTCATGACCCGGGATCGTCGCAGTCAATCTCTTCGTAAACATAAAATAAATCCATGATATTTTGGGGAATACTAGTCAAACTGGAAATTTAGTTGGTAGAAAGAGTTTAACTTAAAAAAAAAATTGTACAATATTACAATCATGAAAATTAATTATTTCATGATTGGAAAAAACAAAATCAAGTTTTCCCTTTTCTTGGTAAAATACACCATCAATGTGGTGTGTAGTAGAGAAAGAGTGAGGCAATGAGCCTTATGGAATGGGTGTTTATTTGTGCCTACTTATAGTTGCTTAACCATGAAGGGAAAAGAAGACATCTTTCTGGAATGAACAGACTGTGAGCAGGCATCTAAGATTTTGATTAATCCTTTACATCTGGTGTCCACTGATATCAATTAATTTAATTCTTATAATTACGAAATCATTGCAACCCGGGGGTGTATTTTATTTATTTGCGAACTGAAAGACTGGGCAGGCATTTGTCAAACACATATCTGTTTTTTGTTTGTTTTTTTTTTTTTTTTTTATTTTGTTTTTTCTTCTATTTGAAGATAACGGTTTAATTTCCTCTGAAAAATATTCTGTAATGAGAATCTCCATCAACCAACTTAATATTTGAAATAATATTGTCGACCTCATAGTTACCAGTTTAATACTCTACATTTACTCGAAGGCATCAAATAATAATAATAATAATTATTATTATTATTACATTAACAACAACAATAATAACAATAACAACAACAACAATAATAACAACAACAATAACAACAACTTGATATTTAGAATTGTTAAACAAAAAATGAAATTCCCAGTCACACCTTAGTTAAAGCATAAAAACCGTAGCATACGTTAGGAAAAGTAAAGAAAAATATTTTTTAAAAATCAATTAAAATTCCAGTATCGATTTTAAGCATGGCATTATTTTTGCAATGAAAATAATCAAAGATCGATATTCAGTAACTGATCTCTGATTACATCCCAAAATGAACTGGATCCGAATTCTCCTTAAAATGTTGATATGGTATTATTATCTGTGGAATTGGAAATAGCTGTTCCTTCAATGTTCAATTCTACATACTTTTAAAAAAAAGTTCAAACACCCCCACAAAACAAAAACAACAAAAGAAAAAAAAAACTGTTACACAACTAACAATTTGTGCGTAAAATAAACAAATAAACTTACAATGAAATAAGTTAATAATAGTAATAAGTAAATACATATGTTCACTTCTTTGTTCATGTTTCAGTGTGTGAAGAAGCATCTGGTTATGCTTCCAAGAAAACTGCATTAATTGTGTCTTATACAGTAGGAAAATGACAAGTTGCACAAATTTTACAAGAACGAATTTGTATCAGTGGAAACCAGATTAACCAGAAGCCTGTATGCTAACAATTCGATGAATGTAATTTCTTTTTCAGCTTTATGGCAAATATTAATTAATTAATTAATTAGTTCATGATTTAAGAATTTCTTTATTTAAATTTAAAATATTTTGATTTTTTAAAATTCTGATTTTTTTTTTTTTTGCTAATGTACCAGAAAAAAATTGAATGAATTAACTATAGCTATAGCAACACTTGATCACAACAAAACTTTAGCTTCAAGAAATAAACTTTGAATAAATTAAATTTAAATATCAGAATAACAGTAAAAAGGGTTATCATTGGCATTTTCTACTTGTGCAGTTTCATATTTCTTTGTTCCCTTTCGAAAATTGTTTGTCGGTCCCAGATGGATGATGAGAAGAGGCAAACGTGTGGTTAGTGTCTAAGCGCTAAGAGAAATCAGACGCGACTTGAGAAACGCGATAAAGAAAAATTAAGGAAAACCTGATGTTTAGAACGGCAGGAGGAGTAAACGAAATCAAGGATAGCTTGCGGTGTGTACTGCAAGCGACAGCCTAACAGGGGGGAAAAAGGAGCGGGGATAAAGCAGAGTTAATGTGCTAAAAATAAATAACGAAAGGAAAGAGTTAAAAGTGCGTTGGGATTGGGAGCTGCTTTGCAAACAGGAGGAGGAGGAGTAGTAGTCTTGATGGTGGAGGCAGCAACGAAGAATATGGATATCTCACAAAGATATAAATCGAATGACAGAAAACAAGATGAATTGGTAAAAAGAGAGATAGTAGAGAGCAATAAAGGGGAAGGGAGAAACGGAATAGAGGGAAAAGATATAATGCAATTAAGTAAGAGAAGATAAAGTAAGAGGTTAAGGGAAAAGAGGTAAGCACTCAAAGAAAAGATAAAGGGCACAGGAAGCTTTAATAATGTGTAGCCACTGGAGAAATGGCTTCAAAGTTTTACAAAAGAGCGCGACCGACGCGGTAAAATGAGTGAAGTTAAAATAAAGGGTGAACGCAAAATATTGAATATACTGATATGGAAAATGCATATAAACAGATCAAAATTTTATATGAAAAAGAATGGAAAATGCAGAAATCATTTGATTAACATAATTACAAAGATTTTTTTTTTCTATGCAAACGAAGAATTATTTTTCAAATTAAAGTAATATGTAAAGAAAAACAGAAAAAAAAGCAATCTCACTTACACGGAGTAGAAAGCATTTAGCAAATTTTTGTTTTACAATAAAAATATCTTTTTTTTTTTTTTTTTTTTTTTTTTAAATTAAAGAGGTACAGATTTTAAGAGTAATTCAAAAAGTTTCAATGTAATTAATGGGAGGAAAAAAAGTACCCACTAGAAACGCAGTTGGTCCTTGCGTAAATGTTCCGTCGTCAGAGTCAAAAAGTCCAAGTTTTTGTCGTCGTTTTGTGCGTTACAATGATAAATGAAGATACAGAGAGAGGGAGAGAGAGAAAGAGAGAGAGAGAAGCTCGCACGCTTTGCGACACTTCCACACGGTATCAATGGCGCGCAACACTGCTAGAGTCAGCAGCAGTCAATTTCGTGGCCGACGGAGGACGACGACAACCAATCAGATGCCGCTTTCTTGTTCAAGTTGGTCGCTCCACCAATAAGGAGAGAGATAAGCGCGTCGTCTGTTTCTAAGTCGGAACTCAGATTCTTACCCAATTTGAGTTTCTAGCACGTTTTTCCACGTGTTTCCAACAACCGAACCCACAGAAAAGCATGTTCACTACATTGTATTCTATTGAATCTAATCTATTGTATTATTGTGTGAGATCATTTTGCGTCTATGGGCGAATGAGTATGTGTGCGCAAGTTTTGCTTCTGTATGGAGAGTGCGTATTTTCAGGCACATACGCGTTCGCGTGTACGCACGCAAACACATACATACACTAATGTGTACATGTATATGGAATGTAACTAACTATTTTGGAAGTACAAAATTATTACATTATTATACATGTTCATTTAAATGTGCAATAAAAACAAGTATTAAATTTCGAATACATAGCCAAACAATGCCAAGAAAGGAATTGCATGCAAAAGAAACTTGTCTACAATTAAAAAAATGTACATATTCGCCCTGCAACCAGTTCATGTGTGCGTGCGTACACGGTGTGTGACAAACAGAGTGCATGCGTACGCGCGTGCGTGCTTATAACCTTATGTGGCCATGGAATTAACAAAGATTCTTAGATTTTTAGTGAAATGAGTGCCTTAAATTTATCAAGTCACAAATAAATATAAAATGAGAAATAAAATTAAAATGATGCCGTAATAGGTAAAATGCCATGGTTTTACTAAGTTGAAAACCCATCCAGATAAGGAAAAGGCCAACGTCATCACCATATAAGCCGCGAAGATTTTTTTTTGTTAGTTTAAATTTGATCTAACTACAAATGCATGTTGATGTTTAAAGATACTATTATGCAAATTATTTACTAAATTAATGACTTGAAACGAACAGAGGGCATCTAAATAAACGTTAAAAGAAAAGGACGAAAGAAGATTTATATAATTCAAATTCAATGAAAAATATATAATTTTAGGTAAACCTTTTAAGAAGTCGTTTTCCTTACAATATCTATCTATCTATCTATCTATCTATCTATCTATCTATCTATCTATCTATCTATCTATCTATCTATGTCTGTAAAATATCTATCGATTTATCTATTGATTAATATAAAATATCACACAGCTTGTAGTAATAAAACAGTGCTCGGTGTAAAATAACAAAGCTAGCATTTATAATAATAAATATACATTTTCCTCACTGTTTGGTACAACCCTAGATAGATAGATAGACAGACAGACAGACGAGATGGTGTGAAAAGTTTTCTGCCTAATCCAATTTCGAAAATCTAGCCAAATAATTAAACCTTATCTTCACCTCTCATATATATATATATATATATATATATATATATATATATATATATAGATAGATAGATAGATAGATAGATAGAGAGAGAGAGAGAGAGAGGAATAGAAGGAGAGAGAGATTAGGTGACAAATCAAAGATTGAATTCGCTTTTATTTTTGCGATTAATCTGTTTTTCAGTCTTTTTCTTTATGATGGAATTGTTCCCACCAGGACTATGATATCAGTCAGCGGGGCAATCGTGCTGTGAACCTGTTAGTGTTATCTGTACAATATGGCACAGATCAACTTTAAACAAACGTAAAATTACGGAACTACGATCAAGCATATTTCAAAACAGGCAATTTTTAAATGTATTGACTGCGGTAGGCGTGATGATGTTATGGAAGCTCTGCTCAAAGATATACATTTAAAAATAGAATTAAAGCCAACCATGTTTTACTATATAGAGTTTTCGTGAAGAGAATTAATGTCTTTTACTTTTTCTGGTGTTTTATTTTTATGACGTGCTGGAGAAATGCGCTACAAGAGCGCCTACAACTCTATGGTTAGTGCGTCTCCGTTCGTACTTGTGTGAGTGTATAGGGGGGATCTACATATGGACGAACGATGCCTTTACATTGCGGGCATACCTAATACGGAGAGGGTGGGGTATGAATGAGTATTAATAAAAAGTAATATTCTAAAATAAATTGAAAAAGAAATGCCCGCGCGTTCGTTTTATGGTTACCATACTTTTATGTTATGTATTGTCGGTCGGGATGATAGTTTGCTTGCGTTCATAGTGGACCAAACACAAAATACTCATTCTTCTTAAAGATAATGAAATATATTTCTCTCTTACTCTTCCATCTTCTCTCTCTCTCTCTTCTCTCTCTCTCTCTCTCTCTCTCTTTGTATGTCTGCCTCCCCTCTGTCTCAGTTATCTCTCTTGTGAGAAGCATCTGTTCTCTGGTAAAGATATTCCTAAGACAAGACGTTTGCTATTTTTATTTATTTTCTTGTTTAACTTCTTTCCATCCCTCGTTCTGTCTCTAAATCAATTTGCGCGATTGTGCGCGCGTGTGTGCGCGTGTGAGCGCGCATGAACGCGTGTGTGTGTCTGTAAAGAGAAAAAATATCTCCCTGCAAGTCTACTTTCTCTCAATTTGCCTTTCTAACGTTTTCTTTCGTTCTCTGAAGAACACATATGTGCAAGTATCATATGTCTGTGAATCTATATATATGTGTGTGTGTTATCCCTTTTTAGATAGATAGATAGATAGATAGATAGATAGATAGAAGAGAATTGAGCAAAAAAACGTAAAATTCGATATTCGAACTAAAAAATAAAATAATATTTACATGGCAATTGACCAGTAACAAATTTCTAGAATTGTCGTCTTAGCGGAAATAGCATTCACAATCACGTAAAACAAAATAGGTTTGATGAGATCTTCAGTTATTCGACATTTCTTCTCTGAAATTACCGCCATTTTCTGAACCTACTGCGATGTTTTGGCTTTTCACAGCCCGTAGTCTACCCGAAAGCTTGGCATATTTAGATTAACAAGGTCTTTTTTTTCCTTTCTGGATTTTATCTTAGATAAAATTAGGCCTTTGTCTCTGGCTGTTAGTTAACATTTTCCTGCTATTTTCTGATATTCTGTAAAAGCTTTGACTTGTGAGAATAATGCACATAAAAAAAAAACATTCTTTAAAATATAGTCATGGCGGACACGAAAGCCCCAAGGAATAAACAAGATTTTTTTAATGCTAATGATATAAATACAAGTCAAAGCACGACAATGGAAGAACAATCTCTTCAACAATCTTGAATCTAAAATAATTGTTAATGAATATTAAAAAGAAAGGTGTTGTTCTTCGTTTTAGTATAAATTGTCGGCATTGTTTATATTGGCTCTTTCTTTGTGAAAGAAAATTTATTCAAAAGTTTAAAGAATTATCTATGTAGCAATTATTACTACTACTATCGTAATGATTATTATTTTTATTATGATTATCAATACTGTTACTACCAACGCGCAATTAATATTATTATTACTGTGTAATTCCTGATTAATGTTAGTAATTTTTAATTAGGGTGTTCAGATTTTCAAATAATAGAGCAATGTACGAGACACATTGGGAAAATAAACTTTTTTTAAATTTTGACCGGCACCTTTGCGTCCTTCGTACATCTTTTGACATTCGAAAATTATACGCATGACGTCTTTGCAAAAATCAAATGTTGGTGGAGATTCAAGCAACGGCTGAAATAACCAGGTACGAAGAGTTATCCTCCTCTTCCTCTTCCTCTCACTTCCAATCAGCGTTCCACATTCTACCCTCTATATCTGTTTCTTTATCTCTCGAACAATTTATCTCATCTCCCGCCATATCATATTTCTTTTCCCACCCTCTACGTCTTTCTTCTTTGTTTCTACTCTATACTACGGTTTTTCTTTCCTTCTTAAATTTTGTTCTTTTTCATGCATTTTTTAAAAAATTTAAATAGTCCTCTTTATGCGTATATTTTTTGTTCATTCCCGCCTTCTTTTAACGGCTCTTTATTTCAAGTTTACTTCACCACTTCCTTCCTTCCTCTCGATCTTCTTATTCCCCCTTAATTCGATGATTCCAGTTTTTTTCCCCTTTTCTTTGTTTCGCGCTTTCCTTGTCTTCCTCGCAAGATCATACAACCCCAACAATTTGCTTTCTCAACAACTTAACTGCTATTGTTGTATCAAAAGAAGTCTTTCATCATTTGCTAGCACACGTCTTCTCTCGCGATATTTTCTCGCAAGATCTCGCCAATGGCTACCATCAAAAACACGGACTCAAAATAAAGGTTTTCTTTTTCTCTCTCTCCTCTCTCTCTTTCTCTGTCTCTCTATCTCTCTGTCTCTCTCTCTCTCTATATATATATATATATATATATATATATATATATATATATATATATATATATATATATATATATATATATATATATATATATATCTTTTATTCCTCTTCCTTCTTTTTTTTATTTTGTCTCATTCCTTTTTTTTCCCTAATTTTCTTTGCATGTTTCTTTATTTACTGCCAAGAGCCAAATATTGTTCTTTCTTTACTTTTTCTTTCTAATATTTGTTTATTTCTATACTTTTTTTTTTTTTTTTTTTTTGTCTTTTTTTTTCTGCGCTTTTCATTCCATTTTCTATCTCCTCCCTTATCCCGGTTTTCAACAAGCCCTCATTTACAGGCACGTTCTCTTTACCCACAAAGTCGAAAGAAACTCTCAAAAGCTAGCGTATGTCGAACACAGGATCAATGGCTTCCTCCTCCTCCTCCTCCTCCTCCTCCTCCTCCTTCTTACTTTATTTGTGACTGGTTATTTCTGTTCAGGGTATAACGTTATCAGAATCTAAAGTGTGGGGATCTAGACAGAAGTTAGCCATTCTCTGTGTTATAAATATGGGGGAGAAAAAGCTCTTTTCACGGCTGACCTACGAAATTGCAACATTTAATTTTTTTTACTTAGAGACACAAGAAGAATACTAGACACATGCATTCGATAAATATCTGCTTTGTTTTAAGGTCTTTATTCAAAAGATTTGGTTCTATTTCAGCTCCAACTGAACAAAGACACAAAAAATGAGCATCTATAAATGAAAACATTAAAATTATCTGAAAGATAACAATATTTTGTTATCTTTCTTTTTCTCTTTCTAACTTCTATCAAATTTCTGTTCAAGACATAAGACCTCTTATTTTATAAAGGAAGTTTATAGAAAAGGTATAGACATAGAAATCAAATAAATCAATTTTTTAAAAATACATATTATTTAAATATAATTTTCTACTTCGTTTCTTTACACGCATGCTCAAACAAATACAATGTGCCACACAAAATTTAGGGAATGGCGTTCGAAAAACCTAATGAAAACCTAATGTTATTGCCATTACCGTTTATGGACAGTAATCTATGAGATCGCGGTATAGCTTTTCAGGTAGACTACTTCGAAAGAAATGGTAGAAACTAGATTTTAGAGTATTGTTTTCAAGATCATTAGCCGAAATTTTGGCCAGCACCTCGTATATACGCATATATACGATGATAATTATAGATATGTATATTTGGAAACAAAGAAAAGAATGCACGGCTAGTATGTAACATCTAAACTTTTATATGTCAGCGAATGCTGGACAGTTTCCTCACAGATGAAGAAAACTCTTCAAGCAATGGCGTTGTGGTTTTAATGATTAATGTAGAGAATGCAATAAACAGATTATATGAGAAATGAATAGATTTTTAGGGAGAATAAGAATTACAAAGAAACTGATGCTAATATCGGAAAGAGCTGAACTTTAGAGCATGCATAATGAAGAAAGACGGTTTAAAGAATTGAACACTTACAAGACCTCAATGAAGGCAAGAGAAACAAGACGAAACAGTAAGTAACCGACTCGATAAGTTTGAGTAAATAAATGTCAGAACAAAAACCAGATAAACAGAGTGATGATAAAAAAGCAAGAATTACTCCATTCCCATAAAAACAGGAAATTGTGGAGAGCCATGATCATACACACACTGATAGTATTTCATGGGAAATCTCATTGTAAGTTAAGCAAGATTGTCTCACATATCATTACGCGTGAGTAGTGAGTTTGAGCTAAAATTGGTATCCTTGCACCTGTGGTTTTGTGTCAAATATAAGTTCCGACGATATATATATATATATATATATATATATATATATATATATATATATATATAGTAAGGTAATGAAGAGTTTGGTAATCCGTGTGGATAATTCCAAAGAGGATGTAATCCAGAGAGCTCAATGTAGCACCAGAGCAAATATTAATTAAATAATTAAGAAAGAGACAACCTTAAGGTTCCATGATTCTAATTTATTTCCCAGAAAATATATTTTTCCTAGTTCATTAGGTCGCATCTCTAGGTAGAGATTATTTTCTAGGGAAATAAATTAGAATCATGGAACCTTAGGTTGTCTTTATTTTTATATATATATATATATATATATATATATATATTTATATATATATTTCCTAAAAATTTCCTAGCCATCTTCTTCATGTGCCGGAAAAGAGCGGTGACATGCAAATACAAGTTTAACTTAGTTTGGCACAAGGCTAATTGTGATATTTTGACTTTGAAAATCAACATTCAAAATAGTAACTAACCTGAAGTCAACGATAAGAAATCTAAAAGTACATCAACCAACACTATATATATATATATATGTGTGTGTGTGTGTGTGTGTGTGTGTGTGTGTGTGTGTGTGTGTGTGTGTGTGTGTGTGTGTGCATTATTTGGAATTTGTTATATTCATGGGAGAGGAGTGCCTTATATCGGAGATAAAGCACACATAAATATAAACAGTGTAGATATAGAAATCAAAACTTTGTCTGAAGATCACACTGCATGAAAGTGACAGTCGATTCTCTTCATATTCCATTAGTGAGGAGGAAGTTCCACTTACACAGTTTCTTCCCCAGTACTATTACAATATTTTTTACTAACAGTTGCAATTCAGTATTGATTCGTGTGTCAACAGACTTCTCTCTGTCTGTCTGTCTGTCTGTCTGTCTGTCTGTCTCTCTCTCTCTCTCTCTCTCTATATATATATATATATATATATATATATATATATATATATATATATATATATATCTGTGTGTGCGTATGTATTTGGTGACTAGCAGATACACTCCAGAAGCGATCATCAGACCATCAGTGTTGATTTCTATGTCTATACTGTAAAGGCTAAAAAATAAAAATTAAAATTAAAAATCCCTTTAGATTACTCTTATAGACAGATTTCAGTGAAATCACATTTTAATAATTTCCTTATGACACAAATCTAAATCATGTTTTACCTTCAAATAGAATTAAATAAAAAGGTATTGTGTCATTTCTTGTAAAATCCTTTAACAAATTTTTAACCCCTTTCTCTTTTTTTATTCCATTTTGATCTGTTTTCTTTTTAACCTTTTTCTTTTTTATCTTTTCTAAAGCCTTTCTTCCTTTACTTTTGAACTCTTTTTCTTTTCTTCCTTTCTTTTTAAACTTTTTTCTTCCTTTACTTTTAAACTCTTTTTCGCTTTTTCTTTCTTTTTTAATCATTTTTTTTTTTTTTTTTTTTGTAAATTCATTCTCTCCTTCTTCTTTACCTTAAAAAAATGTTCTTCTCTTCTCCATTTCGTATTAAACCGTTATGTCCTTTTTTTTCCTTTTTACCCTCTTTCTCTTTCTTTTTTCTTTCTTTTTAAAACCTCCTTTTTTTCTTTTTTAATTTTTTTCTCTCTTTTTTTTTACATTTTTAACCACTTTTTCTTTTCCTCTTTTTTCCTCTTCAACTTTGTTCTCCTTATCTGCTTTCCTTTTCTTTCCTTCTCTTTTTATCTCTGTTTTTACTCTCTCCTTTTTTTCTATCACAACTTCTGGACGCCTACGTCTACCCAATCGAAAGTATAAAATTTCATGAAAAATGATTCAGTCACCTAAATTTTCTCTCTGATCATTTTTGTTCTTTTAACAGTTCTCTTTATTTCACTCTTGCTTCACTCCTTTCATCCTATTTTCTATCTTCCACTCACTCATTTTGTTTTTCCTTTGTTTTGTTTTCTTTATTTTGTAGTATCTTCTTTTTTTTTCTTCATCTTTTTTTTTTTGTTCTGTGATTACATGACCTATAACTCTTTGCTTTTTATTCAACTTAATAGTTATTGTTGCATCAAAAGGAGCCTTTCATCATTCACCAACAGAAGTCTTCTCGCGCGATATTTTCTCGCAAGATCTCGGCAATAGTTACCAACAAAAACGCAAACTGTCTAACACTTTCTTCCTTAAAGATATATATAATTTTTCTGAGAAAAAAAAGCCACAAAAATCGCCAATCCTTTACTTGTGCATATTATTTGTTTATTCTTTTTCCTTTCTTTTTCAACTGCTTTTACTTTACTGAGCATTTTTCCGCTTTTTTTTATCAAACTATGAAAAGATTTTGACAATGAAAACACGCACAATGAGAGAAGAAGAGAGAGAGAGAGGTGGGTGGGCAGGATGTATAGATAAGAGTCCATATATTTTTGGTTTGATAAATTTGCCTGATATTGTAATAGTAAATCTGAAAATATATGGGAAATTAATACGAAATTCCCTTATGTATAACTACGAAAACTTTTTATAAGCCTTAGGTTAAATTGGGTTTTTTGTACACTTTATGAAAATATGACTTGATTAATTATATTTCTATATAGAGCAGTTATCAAGTGTAAGTATTTTAGGCTGATTCTTTATTGACTCACCGAGTAACTGTACGAAACTATGTTTTACGAAAGCGTTGCTATAAAGGAGAATTTTGTATTGTGCTTTTAATAGCAAGCAGATAACCAAACGTCTTGCTTAGCGTTTACTCGTCCCAGGGTCAATCTTCCATCTTTCTCCCTTTTTATCCTCTTCTTCTACTTCTCTTCGTCTGTATTTAATTTTCCAGGACACACAAGGATGCTGATTTAATCCATGATAAATCTGACGCTAAACTCGTCTCAGGCCCCAAAGTTAAGATTAAAATAATTTTACGTGGGACAAATCTGTTTAAAATTTGATGAAGAAATTCCACTTCTTTCTTCCAGTAGTAAAGTTAGGGGTATTCAATGTCTTTACAAGTATATTTGGAGTGTTTAATATATACCTTTCCTTCTACGATCTAAATTTTGATATCTTCGTCAAATACTTAGTCTCTCGTATGACTGATAATATTTTCTTCTTTATATCCCCCAGCAACATGTTTTCGATTTACAAAATGAAACATTTTATTCATTTTGTTGAACTGATTTCTTTCTATTCACATGACACCAATCCTCTTACACGATTCAAAGAAGAGTCTATAATGTAATCGATTCTGACTTGGCATCTCGATTTCAGTCATTTTCTCATCGAAGTGACATAACTTCTGTATTTTCATGGTAACTGTTCTGATGAGCCTTTTTCCTTAGTGCAACGACTGCATGAATTGAAGTCTGCTACTAGATTGGCAACTAGGTCTCACCATTTTACTGCTGCAACCGCCACTCCTATTTATTCAAACAGTTTCTTCTCTTGCATTTATCACCTATGGAACTTCCTTCCGATTTCTTGCTTTTACAAATCTTCAAAAATTTAAATGCAACATCAATCGCCATTCCCTATTCCTTGATTGTCTTTTCCTCACTTCACCTCACTAAAGTCTCTTTCAATCCCTATGCTTCCTGTGTCTCGGTGGCATTATCGACTTGCTTGGAGTGAAATTATTTTAAAAAATTGATTAGTTTAACTTGATAGATATCGTAAATACTGCAAAGTAACCGTTTCTTGGGAAAACCCTATGCTTATGTGCACAGTCAGTTATGTGCCATGCGTGATACACGTTTAGACGATCATGTATCTTTCGATACATGACTGACGAGGCAGTTTTTTTTTCCACAGTATGTTACTATTTCTTTTGGCGGTAGATCAGTTACCATCCAAAGCTATAGAACCCGGTCTGTCCTGCTATTTATCCATAGCTGGGGGGAGAAAAAGAGGATTCATACCTTTCCCAATGTATTAGCATGTAAGTGAATGTAATGGATTCGACTGGAATTCGAACTCGGCTCTCCGATTCCTCAATCCGAGCTACTTGAATAAATAAAATGCCAATGAAGAGTTACGTGTTGAGTGAGACCAATGTATACTTACAAAGATTGTCATAATTAATTTAAATTGCAATACGTTTGTGTGACATCTGATTTAAGTTAATACTTTGCTGTAATTTAAACAAAATAAAAATGAATAAAAACTAGTGGTAGTTTTTTTTTTTTTTTTTTAATTGAATTTATTTTGTCATAATTGTAACTTTCTTTATATTTTGTAGATGTTGCCCAGCTTTAGAATGCTGTTTAGAGGAGTGGCAAATTCTACGACTGCTCCGATGGGTGGGGGGTACCACAAACGTTGGATATCCCGCTGATCATAATCTACATCTTACCAGAGAATTAAGAATTGGACAATGGCAAGATCGGGTCAAGCGAACGTTATGTGTAATATAATAGAAATATGATTTTTGCAACAACAGCATTTAATTATATAGCTTGGAAGAAACTTATCGTAAAACAAACTGAAAAAGGGATAATACTACGGAAAGAAAGAATATATATATATATATGACAGTTCATCAATGTTTTTACTTTTTTTTTTTTTTTTTTTTTTTTTTTTTTTTTGACTAGACCTGAAATGGTGTGGTGAAAAATTCTCGACCCGACCAAGATGTCCTTCAATATATTAATAAAAAAAATAAAAACCAGAGTTTTTATCAGATTTTGAGAAAGCGGTCGAGCTGAAAACTTTTCAGCATATCCTCGTATCATTCAAAATCGACAAAATTCTGAAAATGCTTTTTAGGCGAATTTCTAATCATACTTATCGGGTTTTTTTTTTTATCCATTTCTTATTTCTATTAAGACGTTTTAACAATTGTTGTAATTAAGACATGTTTTTCATTGAATAGCGTCATCTTACATCGTCTTTACCACAAGAATAACACAAGAACTTTAAGAAGAATTCAGCTCAACGTTAGGTATTTTATGAAACATAACTAACCCTAACCCTTCCATTGTAGAGACATTCAATTCTTTTTATTCCTTCTATGACTTTGAGAAATATTTTTGCTAATATTGCAAATAAAGAATTAACAACACATGGATTCATCAGTCTTAAAATAATTTAAACAATGTCTATTGTTCCTAATTTGCTTACCTAATAAATGCATGTTTTATGAAAAATTTGATTACATTCTAAACGAATAAATCATGCTTTTCTGAAATTATGCGCGAATTCATTTATTTATTTGCGAGACGAAAATATGGGGAACAGTTAACGTTAAAAAGAGGGCGCTACCGACGACATTTAATAACAGAATTTATTACGGCCCTTGACACATTATAATTTTTCAATCTAGCGACAGCAGTTCATTTTCGTCACACATCGACTGAGCAGGAGAGGAGGCAACTTCACGACTTCATAACAAAGGACACCTCGGCGTGGAGGTGGGGGGATCAAAGTCTGGTTGACCATTATTAATGAATAATGATTTCCATCGTTACCCGGTGCCTCATAATTGTGACAAACAAAATGAAGAACAGTATCCAAACAACAGTAATTATGTGATTTTGTGCTTGTAAAATCTGATAGCCATGCCAAATAAAATGAATCGACAATGTCGGCTAAGGAAATGCTGATACCATTCACTAGAGTTCTAAATCCAGATGCTCCTGGTTTACATTGTAGCAGGCGACTGACGAAAAAATGGCGAAATCTTTTCAGTCAATATCCAAGACAACAGTTATTGAACTATAAACAAATAAACGTGCGAATTGAATAAAATCATCCGTTATCCAGAAGTCCTTCAAATTGTTTATTAACAACCCTTGTTAATCATGATTTAGTAGTAGTAGCAGTAGTAGTAGTAGTAGTAGTAGTAGTAGTAGTAGTAGAAGAAGAAGAAGAAGAAGAAGAAGAAGAAGAAGAAGCATTGTTGAAAAATAACTGCTAAAAAAATAGAGCAAATGATGTTTATTCTTTAAGCGGTCAATGCTTGTCTTAATGCCACACTACGAAGCACCCAGTGATCCTTACTGGGTACTTTACTAATGTGGCTTTGTGCCAGACTAAGCCCTGATTAGTAAGTAACTAGGAGTTCATATTAGCCTGAGCGTTAGGATTGGGTTGGTGAATTTTACTCCATATCAACCTTTGTTGGTCTAAATATTAAATACGCTTAGATTAGTTTCAGCACAAGGTCACAATTTTCGAGTACTTAATGAAGATCAAACTCACTACTCACTAGCAATGGTCAATCAGATTATCTCGTTAACCATTACATTCCGCCAAGTGTCCTTATTGAATTATATGATGTCTAAATCATTCTTATATTTATTATACTTGAGTCGATACTCAAATATTGGTCGTTTAAACTTGAGTGTAAACGTAAATATTGTTAATTTATACACGGTTATAGAAACATATTCCTGAATCCTGTTCATTTTTTGTTCTTTCCTCAATCCTCCCTATTCTCAGTCTTCTCTTTATGTTTCACTTTCAATCCCAATAACCCCATGCGAGATAGTGGCACTGCGGCCTTACCTGGGGTGAAATGATTTAAAAAAAATGTTTTTTTGGTGTAAAACATGAAACACTTCAACTGAAATTTGTAATGATTTTGGAACTCATCCAAATTATTTCATTAGCAACTTCATGAGATTTTTATCCGAAATTTAAAAGCCTCCCCCCACCCCACTCGAACTAGAGGGACCCAAATACTCTAAAATGTTTCAAATTTGTTCAAAATCCCATTAAATCTGAAAATAAGCAAATATTCTCTATTAATATAGACAACTATATCAACAACTTAAGCACGGTTTCGAACGAAAGTGCTTAAGTTGTTGTCCATGTTGTTG